GCCCAGGATACAATCCAGGAAGGCACAGGCTTATTTCTAGCAGCAAAGGCACTGCAGAGCAAGAAACAGATTACAGATACAGACCAAGGAGTTAGCTTGGGTCTGCCTGCTGGGGGAAAGAAAGCCAGCAGGTAAAACAAGGGGGGGGTGCAAGAGGTTTTTCCTTACCAATCCCCAAAGCAACAGCAGGAACAGCAGTTTCAACATCAGAGGACACAGAGAGGACTCGATTCGCTTACAATAATCAGGAGATCTCCAGGCACAAATTCATTGTTCATGGGAGGGGAGTTTAAAAACGGGGGTACGCTCAAAAACAAACGAGAGCAGGGAGAGGGCCCCCCCAAAGACTCCTAGCTGATCAAACTAGGTGGCAAAGCAAGGACCTTCTTCGGGGGTCTGATCAGAAAATGTCTGGTTTTAAGGGCAAATTCAGGCAGTTTCCCGCCAGTAACTTTGATTGGCTCCTCTGAATCCAGGGGAGGAGAGAAGGCAGGGAAGACTTGCAGGTAGGCACAGGACATGTCTGGGCAAGTTCTGAGTCACAGGTATGACTCATATGCTTAGCTATGTGGCCACTTTGGGTCTCACATACCTGGGCAGAGCACCCTACACCGAGCCGGGTCCTGAACAAAGAAGCTAGACAAAGGAGCGAAAAGCCCCCACCTCCCTGAGCAGAGCAGATGGCTCCAGTCAGTCTGCACAAGCCATTTTCATGAACAGGGCCAGGCTGTGACTTTGGTTAGTTCCATGGCCCGGGGCGGCCACACAGCACAAACAGAACAGCAGGGGAACAGCTGTAACAGACACTTCACTGTTGCCAGTACTAGATTTGGCCCATAATTCTTTTTGAATATCTTTGGGCTGAGACTCACCTGCTGCAGTGGTGTTTAGGGTCGTAAATGAACCACCAAGGTCCAGGAAAGAATTCTCTCATCTTAGGAGCAGTGTAAGGCCAATGTAAGCCCTACACTGCTGCTTCTTGCAAGCCACACAGAGGGGAAAAGCTGGGGCTGGCAGAGGGAAGAGAGATGTCGAGGAGGGTGAGGGGGTAGTGGTAGCACTTGATGCTGTGCAGAGTCTGGGCTGCGATCCATAAGCCCCTTGGGACAGGCCACTTTTGCCACCCCTTCTTGCTGTGCAACATCTGCTGTGTTTCTTCTCTCAGGAGATGCCAAAGAGAGAGAGAGAGAGAGATCTTGAAATAGAAGAAGGGCCATATTTACAGCAGAGATGGATTTGGCCAAAGATATTTACAAACATCACATTAAGAAACGTGTAGGAAAAAACTGCTACTGTGCTAGATTTTTTTTCCCACCTCTTCCTAACCCCTACCTCCTCCTCTCCCCAGGCCTGATAGGTATTTGACTTTTCTGGGCATTTGTTATGTATAGGTTAGGCAATGGACTCATCAGAAGACAATACAAATATTGAGAAATACTGTACGCTTATCAAAGGCTAAATTAAAAACCGTTCTCATTATGGGCAGCAGTGTTATTCTTGTGCCCCAGACCTTGTGGCTCATCTGTTTAATATGTATGTAGGCTGGCTTTCAGACGCATGATAAACTACCGGCTTGTCTACAGAGCCCAAGCTGACTTTATTAACACCATCATTAAAAACACATAGACAGTATTTCATTAATTTAGAAGCAAGAAGCTGTTTTAATTAGATACTGTAACTCAGTTTAAACTTCTCTTTATCTAACTTCAGAGTCAGACACCTGGATTGTGACAATGTCTTTAGTGAAGCAAAGGTCCTTTTCCCAACCAAATCCATAGGAACCTGTAACATTTACCAGTACATTTGTGTTATTAAGATAAGCAATGCCAGTCCAAGTCAAGAACAGGGACTCTCAAGTCAATAGGCAAACAGATGAGCTGCACGTCAGCAGTACAGTGGTTGGGGCACTAGCCTAGGACTTGGAGACCTGGGGTCAATTCCCTGCTTTACCACAGATGTCCTGACTGACCTTGTTGCAAGTTACTTAGCCTCACAGTGCCCTATCTGTAAAGTGGAGGTAAAAATCATTCCCTACCTCACTTGTGAGGATAAATACAGTACAGGGTGTGAAGCACTTTGAGATCTACTGATGAAAAGTGCTATATAAGAGGTAGGCATTTTTTAATTTAAGGTAGACTGTCAAAGTGAACTATTTATTCTGTGACCGCACCTTACATAGTGAATTTAAAAAGTTGCTTAATGTGATTATGATTAAATATTAAAACAAGAATAAACTATTTCAAATCCTCTTCTAGCATGGGAGTTATTTTACCCCTGAGCATAGGTGTTGATGTTAATAATTTCACATCCAAAAGACTGTGAGGACTCCTCTCACATGGTGCTCGATGAGGATGAATGAAGGTGGCTCTGGAACACAAAGGTGCCTCCTCCACATGCTCCAGTTCTGCCTTATTTGAACTTTAAGAAGGTTTTTCCAATGAAGCCAGGAAGCTAGCCAGCCACCCATATCTGCCCTAGTTGCTGATAGACGCTCATCAGCCTATCTACAGGTGGTACCATTTTGTGCACAGTGTATGATAACGATCCTCTTTTGGCAGTAACTTCTGCAGGAACCCCCTCAACCAATTTCCAAACTAGAACTGGTTATTCTGGTTTTAAAACGGCTTTTGGCTCACATCTCCCATGGATTTCCAGTTATTGCATCAGCCATGTCACCAAGTGGCACTAGTCAGTGCTGGATGTTCCTTTGCAGTGGTACAGGCTTTGTTTTGATCAGCAAGACATTTATGAACAGGTGATCCTTCCTGAAAAGAACACAAGGCTTGTGTTGGTTGAAAAAAAACCTTTCTGTGCAATACAGTATAGAGCTAACTTATGACCTACCCCAAGCATCATCTTCAAAGTTTCAAACTCATCACACACAGTGACATATTGAAATGTACAAGTTGTTAATGATAGACCAGGAAGACTGAGCATTTCACACAGGTTTCGTAGCTGTAGGTCAGGGATCGGAACTCCGCTGACGGGCCTGGAGGGTTTGTTTACCTGCAGCGTCCGTAGGTTTGGCCGATCGCAGCTCCCAATGGGGGCTGTGGGAAGCAGCATGGGCCGAGGGATACACTTTCTGCTGCTTCCCGCAGCCCCCATTGGCCTGGAGCGGCGAACCGCGGCCAGTGGGAGCTGCGATCAGCCGAACCTGCGGACGCGGCAGGTAAACAAACTGTCCTGGCCTGCTAGCGGCTTTCCCTGACAGGCCACATGCCAAAGGTTGCCGATCCCTGCTATAGGGTGACCAGATGTCCCAGTCTTATAGGGACAGTCCTAGTATTCGGGGCTTTATCTTATATAGGCATCTATCACCCCCCACCTCCTGGCCCAATTTTTCACACTTGCTGTCTGGTCACCCTATGTAGCTGTAAAGGTCCATACAGATTCCCAGCTACTTTGAATAAGCAACATTGATCATCAATAATATGAGTCCTATGAAAGGAAGAGCAAAATTCACATGGATATGCTAGAATGGATTTTCAACCCACCCATGAATTACAGATGCTGCTGTT